AACTTTCACATGCATATGAGGTTATTGAAAATACCATGGCTTGGGTCAGATGCACCTTAGTCCTCAAGCTGACATCTTTGCTCTTCAACACTTTAAAATGGTCTTGTGTGGCAGATTAGCCTAAGGCAATATATCATTTGATTTCTTGACTGTTGCTTCGGTGAGTGTTGACGGTTGATCCAAGAAGAATGAAGTCCTTGACTACTTCAATCTTTTCTCCATTGATAAGAATGTTGTTTATTGGTCCAATGGTGAGGATTTTTGTTTTCTTTACATTGAGATGTAATGCATACCGAAAGCTGTGCTCTTTGATCTTCATCAGTAAATGTTTAAGTCCTCTTCACTTTCAGCAAGCAAGGTTTTATCATCTACATATCTATTGATAACTACACTGAATGTAAATGGATTAAACACACCAGTTAAGAGTGGCAGAATGGATAAGAAAACAAGATCCTTCAATATGCTGTCAGCAAGAGAAACATCTTACACACAGGGACAAAAACAGATTAAAAGTCAAAGGATGGAAAAAAATATACCAAGCTAACTGCAATCAAAAACCAACAGGAGTGGCAGTACTAATCTCTGATAAAATAAACTTTAAGGCAAAAACCAGCATAATAGATAAAGATGGACATTATCTCATGATTAAACAATTTAACAAGATGAAATAACCATAATAAATATCTATGCTCTTAATGAAAGAACTACAGAATAAATAAAGCAAACTCTAATAGATTTGAAGAAACAAATAGACAAATCTACAATAATAATGGGGGATTTTAATACACCATTTTCAAAAATAGATAGAACAACCAGAAAGAACTTGACAAAGACACAGAAGAACTACACAACACAATCAGCCAACAGGACCTCACAGATGTGTACAGAGCATTCAACCCAACAACAGCACAATACACATTCTTTTTCAGTGCAAATGAAAGATTCTCCAGAATAGACTATGAGTTAGGCCACAAAACAATCCTCCACAAATTTACAAATATCAAAATACTATAAAGCATCTTCTCAGATCACAATCCTATTAAATTAGAAATCAGCAATAGGAAGACCAAGGAAATAAAGTCAAATACAAGGAAACTGAATAACACTCTGCTGAAAAGCGACTGGGTAAAAGAAGAAACTAAACGTGAACTGACAAAGTTTCTAGAAACAAATGAGAACGAAAACACAACATAGCAAAATCTTTGGGACACAGCGAAAGCGGTCATGAGAAGAAAATTTATTGCAGTAAAGGCAACATCCAAAAAGAAGAA